TGGGAATTGGAGAAGAGGGGCCTGTTCAGATCTGGTTTCAGGGTGTTGATAGCAGCCATGGATATTTTTCTGAGCTGGGTATGGTAGTTATATCTAGTAGGCAGGGTTCTTGATTTCTTCCCTGTAGGTGAGGTTGCTGGCCAGGCCTTGTCTCTAATGGAGCAGCTCCGGGGGGAGGCCCTTAAGTTTCATAAACCAGGTAAGGGAGTACTTTGAAACTCTGGGGTGGGCTGGTGATTAGCATTACAGCCAGGTTTGTAGTCAGGATCCTTGGCTGCCAGCCTGGTCATCAGATTTGTTCTGCTCCTGGCAGGTGAAAACTACAAGACTCCAGGCTATGTGACCACTCCGCATACTATGGATCTGCTGAAGCAGCACCTAGAGATCACTGGAGGACAGGTGTGTAGGGATGGGGCCAAGCAAACACTGGCTTATGTGCCTAAGCTGCCTCTCTCCTGCCTCATCTCACCTATCACCATGACCTCCTTAGGAAAGAGCATCTGTTTCTGCAGGGTGGTCTGAGCTCTGATCTCATTTCCTCTATCCCATTCCCTTCACTCAGGTACGAACGCGGTTCCCCCCAGAGCCCAATGGAATCCTGCATATTGGACATGCCAAAGCCATCAATTTCAACTTTGGCTATGCCAAGGTAAGTATGTGTCTCTGTCTCTGGCAAGTAATATGATCATTGGCTGCTCCCATGACTGGATTCCAGAAAGACATAGTTCTGTTTTGCCTTTTGTAGCTGATGACAGAGGCCATAGAGGGAAACCATATGTAAGAGTTATCCTCAGGAAATGGTGAACTAAAATGGTTCTTTAGATAGGGATTTACTGCATATTCTGGCTGGCTTTGAAATCATAGAGATTGCCTGCCTCTGCTTCTCAAGTGCTAGGATTAAAGGTATTTACCACTATGTCCTGTGAATGATGAATTTCTTGAATAGCTTTTACTTAACTTTTAAATTTTTTAGTGTGGGCCATCAAAAGAAGACATTAATTAAAAAAAATATTCTTCAGGCTGGGAGGTGGTGGCACACACCTTCCACCCCAGCACTCAGGAGGCAGAGGAAGGCAGATCTCTGAGTTTGAGGCCAGCCTGGTCTACAGAGTGAGTTCCAGGACAGCCAGGGCAATTGCAGATGTGTATACACACACCTGCACTTGGGCATGCTTCCAGGACAGCCAGGGCAATTGCGGATGTGTGTACACACACCTGCACGTGTTGTGCATGCTTCCAGGACAGCCAGGGCAATTGCGGATGTGTGTACACACACCTGCACTTGTGCATGCACTCATGCACACTCATGCTGTTGCACATTGGTGGACATCAAAGAAAAAACTGAGAGTTGGTTCTTTCCATCATGATTTTTCAGATCACACTCAGGTCCTACGGCTTGTGTAGCAACTGCTTTGATCTGCTGAACTCTCTCCCTGGCTGTACTTTATATTTCGATAAGCTTGAGCTCTGACAACGTCTGAGTTTGATGATGTGGACTATAGGGCTGATGGATATGTAGGAGCTCACAGATGCTCCCACTCTTCCAGGCCAACAATGGTATCTGTTTTCTGCGCTTTGATGACACCAACCCTGAGAAGGAAGAAGCAAAATTCTTCACTGCTATTTATGACATGGTGACTTGGCTGGGTATGGATTGGTGAGGCCTGGGCAGGGCTGGCGGTGAGTGGACCTCTCTGTGGGCCATGGCTTTGCCAGTTAGTGTTTCTTGCTGGCTGCTCATACTATGACTCTACTGCCCCAGGTTATACACCTTACAAAGTGACGTATGCCTCTGACTATTTTGACCAGCTGTATGCCTGGGCTGTGGAACTCATCCACAGGTGAGGCCAGGCCCACCCATAATGTTGAGCCAGGTAAGCTGACTACTAGGTCAGAGGCCACCTGCACATTCATATCCCTTTTTCACAGGGGTCAAGCTTATGTGTGTCACCAGAGAGTAGAGGAGCTCAAAGGCCACAACTCTTTGCCTTCACCATGGAGGGAGCGTCCTATTGAGGAGTCACTGCTGCTCTTTGAGGTGACATCTCAGAAGGGCGGCTTGGTTTGGGTAGGCCAGTGTGCTAAGGATGAGATGCTCTTGTGTTTAGAGCTAGGCTGAGCTCTTGTTCTCCTCAGGCAATGCGCAAGGGCAAGTTTGCAGAAGGTGAGGCGACACTTCGAATGAAGTTGGTGATGGAGGATGGCAAGATGGACCCTGTGGCATATCGAGTCAAGTATACACCACACCATCGCACAGGGGAGAAATGGTACATATTGGCATGGGGAGGGGTGGTGAGGTAGCAGGGCTGTGGATTAGAGCAATAGCCAATGGGATAGGGCAGAGGGACTGGCTGGTGGGGTCTACTGCCTATGTTCCACAGGTGCATCTATCCCACCTACGACTACACACACTGTCTTTGTGACTCCATTGAGCACATCACCCACTCACTGTGTACCAAGGAATTCCAGGCTCGGTGAGGAGGCTGAGGTTATGGGGTGGGTAGGGTCAGGGGGATTCCTTTTTGTTTAGAGTGTGTCTATGCATGTGAGTGAGTGTGTGCTCCTTTCACTAAGTAGGTTCCAGGGATACAACTCGGCTCTTCAGACTTGGCATTAAGTGTTTTTCCCCCGCTGCTTCCTCTCGATTGCCTCTAGTGCCTTTTCTGTGGTCTCTCCCTGGCTGCACAGGTGGCCAGTTCTAACCCTACTCTTCCATCCTAGACGGTCTTCCTACTTTTGGTTATGTAATGCGCTGGATGTCTATTGCCCTGTTCAGTGGGAATATGGCCGTCTCAACTTGCACTATGCTGTTGTCTCAAAGCGGAAGATTCTCCAGCTTGTAGCAGCTGGTGCTGTTCGGTAGGTATGGACCCTGGGTTCGCTAAGGTTGTAGGACTTGTGCTGTTTAAGGTCTTTTGACCATCCTCTTATTCATAGGGACTGGGACGATCCACGGCTCTTCACACTTACAGCCCTACGACGCCGAGGTTTTCCACCTGAGGCCATCAATAACTTCTGTGCTCGGGTATAATCCAGTAGACTGAGTGGGCAGAAACAGGCCAAGTGTGGCTTTGTGGTGTGGCTATGACTGATGAGTTTTCCTGACAGGTGGGGGTGACAGTGGCACAGACCACAATGGAACCACATCTTCTGGAAGCCTGCGTGCGTGATGTACTGAATGACACAGCTCCACGAGCCATGGCTGTGCTGGAGCCGCTACAAGTTGTCATCACTAACTTTCCTGCTCCTAAGGTGGGCCTACCTCAGTGTGTGTGTGAGTGCATGGGTACATACATGCCTGGGCATGGGGGTCCTAGTAGCTGGGATGACTCAGATACCTATCTCCTGCTACAGCCCTTGGACATCCAAGTGCCCAATTTCCCAGCTGATGAGACCAAGGGCTTCCATCAGGTCCCTTTTGCTTCCACTATCTTCATTGAGAGAACTGACTTTAAGGAGGTAAAGAGGGGTTTACTAGTATGTCTGTTTTGAGGTGTCTTTTAGTACCCTCATCCTTTCTGTACGTCCATGTCCTTCCTGCTTTACCGTGAACCAGTCCCTGACAGACATGGGGTTGGGAGAAGCCTTGCATTGCCTGATGTTTGCAGCTTCTGTAACTTCCATGCTCCTTTTCTCTAGGAGTCAGAACCAGGCTATAAGCGCCTGGCCTTGGGCCAGCCCGTGGGCCTGAGACACACTGGCTACGTCATCGAACTGCAGCGTGTTGTCAAGGTAAGAGGCAGCTGCAGTCTTTCCGGACAGTGCCTGCTCGGGTCAAGCCCTGTGTGTACTGTGCATAGCCAACAGTCTTAGTGTTGGTTCCCTGGGCTGGTTGCATCTTCCTCCCTTCTAGGGCTCTAGTGGCTGTGTGGAATGCTTGGAGGTGACTTGTAGAAGAGCTGATTCTGGAGAGAAGCCCAAGGCCTTTATTCACTGGGTGTCACAGCCTCTGGTGTGTGAGATTCGCCTCTATGAGCGACTGTGAGTGAACATAACTGGCATTGGGGCAGTCACAAGATGGAAACTGCATGCTGTGGCTCTCCAGCTGGGGCCTGATTTTCACTCTGGTCACAGATTCCAGCACAAGAACCCCGAAGACCCTGTTGAAGTGCCTGGTGGATTCCTAAGTGACCTGAACCCGGTAGGCTCATGGAGTGTGAGTCGAGGGTGGTGGGCCTCTGAGCTGTATAGCTACTTGAATTCCCTGTCTGCAGGCATCGTTACAAGTGGTGGAAGGAGCATTAGTGGACCGCTCTGTGGCTTTGGCAAAGCCCTTGGACAAGTTTCAGTTTGAGCGCCTTGGATACTTCTCTGTTGACCCAGATAGCCAACAAGGACAGGTGCATAACTTGACCCAGCTACACCTTTCTGCAGTACTGATGTTGGCAGCTGTTCACTGTAATAAACACTCCCTACATTCCCTTAGCTTTCCCCAGTTAAGGGATGGGTATTCATGGATTACTTTTGAGGAAACTGGTTCAGAGGGTTAGGGTTAGGTCACACAATTTTATAGAGCACACAATTTTATAGAGATCCTAATTTTTTTACTCTTCAAAGTAGCATGTATGCTTAGAGGTTATCATAATCCTCATGAAACTAAGACACAGCACAGTCATCTAGTTCTATATCCAATATTACAGAGTTATGAGAACCATGATGTTCTGTCCCTTGATGACCTCCTTGGTGGGAGGGAGAGGAAGGGGCCTGGTTCTGGGCTGTTGGTCATTTTTCTTGCCTTTCAGCTTATCTTCAACCGAACTGTCACACTGAAGGAAGATCCAGGAAAAGTGTGAACTGAAAACATGTGAACCTACCTCATCCTGGAGGCTGGGGGTACCCTCACCACCCCATACTCCATTTCAATAAAGAATAACTAAATCTCCATGGAGTCTGTGTTGTTTGCTTTTCTAGTATTTGAGCACCCTGAAGACATGCTGTGTGACACTGGTAGTCCGAAAGAATGGGCTTCCCCAGAACTGGGGTAGGGACAAAACCACTAGTGTACTTCTTGGTTCTCAAAGGCAGGCCCATGGCTGGGATTAGATCTAAGGGCCCTGGAGATGCTGCTCCACAGTTACCAGCCCTATGGAGAGGTTTAGGTTTGTGTCTGTGGGGCCAGGCAGATCAAGAGAGGCATGATCCCCAGTATGATCATTCAGAAAAAAAAAACAACAAAACTGTCTACTGCTCAAGCAAAGTGAGACATGCTGTTGTGGCTCTAAGCTTAGAAACCCAAGCAGTCTCCCTGGATGCCTACAGTGCTGAGGTTCCTGACCAAGCTGCACTTTAGGTTGACCCCATCTCAGAAAATGACTTCTGAGGAGTCTGGAGACTGGAGAGTTTGCCAGGACAAGAACACGTGCAGAAGGCCGAAAGCCCGACCAGGCTGATGGCTCCCTGGGTTGAAGTGAGCTGCTGCTGAGGCTGTAGGTGAGTGCCTGCAGCTTTAAAAGCCTTCCACATTTTCCCTGTATACAAACACTCACTACCCAAGGCCCGCTTTAAGGTGGACCTGACTGCGGTAGCTGATCTCTGACGGTAGCTGATGGCGAGCATTCCAGAAGCGGTTTTCTCCAGAGTCTCAGCAACTCCGAGCATTTCCCAGATGTGGTACAAATGTTAAGTCTGGGCCCAGCTGAGGGGTTTGGGGGGGGCCACCTTAACCACGAGGCCGAGGTAGGCCGGGCCACGCCTCGCGAAGAGCTGTGCAGCTAGGGGAGGCGCAAGCGGGACGCCGTAGGTGGGTTTAAGAAGCACGCCTCCAGACCTCGGGCAGGAGCAAAATAACCCCGGGGTACTGAACCCCGGGCCTAGGCTCCTCCCCGCCACGGAGGGGCGTCCATGGGCGTGGCGCTCCTTTCAACAACCAGGGATCCACTCTTCAGTTCCACCAGCCTCCCTTTCAGTCAGAAGCGTTCCCTTTAAGCCTGACCGGCAGCTCTCGCGGGATCCGACGCTTCGATTCTCGCGAGAGGGGCACTCAGCTCCCATTGGTTGTGAGGGTTGAATGTAAGATGGCGCCCAGGGAGCTGTGAGGAGAAAATCCTGTCGGTCTTGGAGCAGCGACGGCAGAACCGAGGCCCCGGGCGGTGAAGCGGGGCCGGCGGGCAGAGCGGAGGCAGCGGCGGCGGTGGCGTCGCCGGGTGAGGGCTCCGGTGGGGGCGGGGATGCAGCCAGGCTGTGGGGCTCGGGCAACAGGCCCACTCCACACAACGGCGGGCGGGCGGGCGGGGGCGGGCGGACCGCTGCCGCTGGGCCCAGGCGACCTCGGGGCGGCCCGGGAACGGAGAGCGTCCCTCGGCCCGCGTGCCTCCGCCCCGCGGGTGGGGGAGGGGCGGGCCTGGGATCGGGGTGGGCGCGGCGCACGAGGGCGCGCAGCGGCGGGCGCGCGCACGAGCGTGTGTTGTGTTGTTTTTTTTTTTTTTTTTAACCCCGCGGTAACGCGCGCGCTGTGCGGTCCTCCCATTGCGCGTAGCCGCTCGACGTGCGCGTTCCCGTTGGCTCTCAGCTGTGGCCCGTGGGCTAGAGCGGCTTCCGGGGCGCGCGCCTGTCCGCGACCCCCGGTTTTGCGGCGCGCGCCCTGCTGTTGGTGGGTCGTGCTGTCCCGAGTGCGCGCAGACGCCCCTTCTGCGCGGAGGGCCGGCAGCCCGGCGGACGGCCGACTTGCTTCGAGGGGGAACGTGGAGGGTTGTTGGGCCCTTCCCGCTCCGGTGACGTCCCGGGCAGCGGTGGCCTAGGTCTGCAGAGAAACCTAGCGGCTTTGCTGTCTGGCTTGCGGCTCCGCTCTTCTGTGAGGCAGACAGAAATTGCTCGTCCTAACTGAAGAATGCTGTTATTTAAGCGAGGCCCGTGTACTGGGTGGGTGCTTGGGGAGGGTGCTACCTTGCTTCGGAAACCGAGTTCTCTCGGCCAGAGAGGGCATTGGGTTCCCTTGGGTTTTTTCACCTTGTCCTGGTGCTTTGTGCCGAGGAGAGGTTAACATTACAAGGCCCTTCGTTAGTGCCTGCTTTTCTCCCATCAGAAACCAATTCGTCCATAAGCGCAGTTGATACACGTCACCGCTGCGCTCCGGAAAGAGATCTTCAAATGTGTATAGTACCAAACTCTCCGAGCTTTAAAATTCCGCTTTAAATCCTTAAATGTAGGCGCCCCCCCCCCCCCCCGCATGGGTGGGAGGGACTTGTTTTCTGTTCCGAATAAGGACCAGTTCTTAACGTTGATAAACTTGATCAATGATTTGCTTTTTTCTTTGTAATTTCTAAAGTATTCAGCAGAAATTTCTAAAATCTGCCCGTGTCACTATAAGAACCAAGTGACCTAAGTCCTTCTCAGCTTTTTTTTTTGTCCCAGCGCTGTGATCTGGTGTCAAGGAAATTCTAGGTTTGTGAAGAAGAAATATGCACCTCTTTTTTTAAACACAAAACATCTGTTAGTTTATTATACAGTTTCGGTCCATCAAGGTTGAGGAAAAGCAAGCTAAAAGGAGTAATAGTGGAAATCAAATTTGATAGTAATGTTTTTTTTTTTTTAATACACTGTATTTTTTTAAGAACAAAGTTAAAACTTAAAAAGAGGCTGAGGATGGAAGGAACTTCTTTGTTCTATCTTCTTCAGAATGTTAGAAGTCTTAAGAACTCAGGACAAGCAGCAGACATACATGCAACATGGTGACTGGTGAGTTAAAATCATTCATATGCTGGAAGTATGTGTGCAGTCCGTTACCCCCTTTCCCCCTCAGTAATATTGAAACTTTACAAATCCTGTCATTCATTCTTGGTGTTGTCTGCTAGAAACGTTAGCTACTAGAAAACTGCAGGTGGGAAACTGTTGCTTGGACAGTGGTCCCTTAAAATCTAAGTCACCCCAATGTGCAGGATCAACATTGCAAAGCATCAGCTAAGAACCTAAATGGTTTAAAAATAAAAACAAAAACTGTCAGGTTTATTGAGTTTATTTATAAACTTTTTATACCTTTTAAGCTTGCTTATTCTGGATTATCTTTTTTTTTTTTTATTTTTTATTTTTTTTCTTTAACAATGTTTCCATCAACTAATATTTACCTGGTAGATAACTTTCAGTCCTTTGGGATATTTTTCTACTCTAAGAACTTACACAGTTCCATATCTCCTTGAAAAAACTTATGTTGATGTTGTGTCTCCAAACAAAAGCTCAAAAAGTGGTTGAATTTTGCTGTGAATTTGAGTTACTTGAAAAAGTAAAAACAACACAAATCAAAGCCCAGTTAGGGACTTGGGTATGGCTGTCCTCCTTTATAGCAGCTTCAAAATCAAGGATGTCTTCCTGTAAGCTTGCATGCTTGTAGTCAGTAGAGGTTTGTACTTGATGTGCCGTGCTTCTTACTTCTCTGCTTTTTAAATGGCCATGCTTTATCTGTGACTGTTTGTGAGTTGGCCTCAGAATGAGGCGTTACTCAACAACTTTTCTTTGCCCGCCTGCATTTAGTTCCAGATGTAAGTCCTCTGAGCTTCAATATTTTCCTCTATAATTGATTGTGATTTCTGTTTTTGTTTTATTTTTATTATTTTGAACCTAGAGTCTTGCACATGCTAAGCATGCACTTTACCACTAAACTAACTTCTCTGGCTCTGGGTTGTGGTTTGTCTCATTAAACTGACTTGGCTGCATGAAGAAAAAGGAGTAAATTTTTGCTTTCTTCAAAGGGGAAAAGGAATGATTCTTTGGACCCACTTACTTAGAAAGCTGATCTTTTTCTCTTTGAGATAGGGTTTTAGGAGTTTTGGGCTGGCCTGAATTTTGTTGCTGTGGAGCATGATCTTGAACTTCTGATCCTCATGCCTCTGCCTCCCAGGTGCTGGATTATAAGTATGCTGCCACCAAACCCATGCTATGTGTGTTGGAGATCAAACCCTGGGCTTTGTACAGGCTAAACAAGCACACTACAACACCCTTCCTTAAGACTGAAATATTTATGTACTGTTTACAGATCAGATTAGTGTAACTACATCTAAGAAATAGAATGCCATCACCCCTGTATCTGTTCTTCCTCATAGCATCTCAGTTCTTGGAAACAGCTAAACTCAATCTCATTTTTTTTTTTTAATGTGTATGGGTGTTTTGTCTGCATATATGTCTGTGCACTATGTGCGTACAGTGCCCTCAGAACCAGAATAGGGTAGTGTGTTGGATCCTCTGGGACTGGAGTTCGAGGCAGTTGTCAGCTGATATTTGGGTTCAGGAATCAAACACAGGGCCTCTGGAAGAGCAGCCAATATGCTTCAGCTACTTTGAAACCGTCTCTTCAGCTTGATAATCTTGTCTTTTGTCTTCATATTTACCACCTTTGTATCCCTAAACATAGTTTTTTTTTTTTTTTTTTTTAAATCTTGTATATACGCACACTCACTGTTGCTTTATGATTATTATTAGACGGGGGTGTCACTGTGTACCTCTGGCTGTTCTGGAATTCACCATGTAGACCATGCTGGCTTTGAACTCAGGAAAAAGATACACCTGTCTCTGCCTCCTGTGCTTACTTTGTATCTTCTGCTTTTATCATTGTTTTTTATGTGTGCAGCTCTGGTAGTTGATGTCCATTTCTGTACTGTTTTGTTGATATTCCATAATTTTATATCCCATGCTGGCAAACATTAAATTACTTCTAGTTTATAGATATCAGTGCTCTTGTGAACATTTGGATGTATTTGGTTGTTATATACATTTAAGGTTAAGGTTGCTTGGTTTTATGGAAGGAATATTTTTGGGGGGGGGCAGTTTCTCTGTGTAATTTTGGTTCCTGTCTTGGAGCTTGCTCTGTAGCCCAGGCTGGCCTCGAACTCGCAGAGATCGCCTGGCTCTGCCTCCCGAGTGCTGGGATTAAAGGCGTGCTGCACCACCACCACCACCACCACCACCACCACCACCACCACCACGCCCGCTGGAAGGAATATTTTTAACTTTACTAGTCAATGTAAGTGGTTGTACCAATTTACAGCCCATCAGTATTTGATAAAAATATGGATTTTAAATTTTTGGTTGAAAATGTGTTTAAAAAATATAACCTTGATTATATATAATTTTGATGAAAATGCTCTTAAATCTGGGGTTTCTCAGTAAAGGTATTGGATGGATGAGTGTCCCCAGGCAAAAGTTTTTTTGACAAACTGTAGTGGGTTAGTACCTGTAAGTAGGTTTTCCACTCTGCTTTGATAGTAATCACTTACCTTATTTAGAGCAAATATAGCTAACTTTTAAAATTAGTCTTTTTTTAGCATGTGAAAATGCAATTTTTAAATCAGACTAAGCTGTGAGGAACCATTATTAGAGTAGGTACTTTGGAAGAGGTTTGGCTCTCAAGAAAGAGGCAACTTGGAAACTGAGGCAGCTCGGGCTATCTTCTCTTGGAAATTCAAAACTTCAAAAAACTTGACTAATCTAAAGGTGTCGAGTTATCTTGATTGTTGCAGTCAGTCACAGATTGAACTCCTTGTTATATACACTTTCCCCTCTTACTGCTGTACTTGACTAGTCAAATAAACCAACCCGAATAGGCGGAAATAAATGGCTCAAGAAGGGGTGAGTGTGGTGAGTACTAGAATCATTCTCATTCATTCTCTCTCTCTCTCTCTCTCTCTCTCTCTCTCTCTCTCTCTCTCTCTCTCTTTTGTTTTTTCAAGACAGGGTTTCTCTGTGTAACACCCTTAGCTGTCCTGAATCTCACTCTGTAGAACAGGCTGGCATCAAACTCACAGAGATCCGCCTGCCTCTGTCTTCTGAGTGCTGGGATTAAAGATACAGGCGTGCGCTGCCGCTGCCGCCGCCGCCGCCACCACCACCACCACCACCTGGCTAGAATCATCTCTTAATACCTAAATGGAAAAAAAGAAAAAGCACCCTTAGAAATGTTTTTTGAGAAGTCTTTTCCATGAGTATCATTGTATTCTAGTAATAAAATAGTAGTTTGTATGTTAACACAAGGCATTGTGTTAGTAACAACTCTACTAAACCAGGTAGAGTGGGGAGTGGGGCCGAAAACCAGCATAGAGAAAGGAAGTGTCTTGGATCCATTGGTGGGAGCTGTTTACAGACTCTGCCTACTAGGAGCTTTACTGTGTTTTCTCTTTTTCCATTGTAAATCTCACCTGATTTGCAGGTACTAGGGGTACTCAACATATTCCCAGAGCTTCTTGTTTTTTAGAAGCCTTATAATTAATTTCTTTCCTGCTTTTCACCTCTTCTTTGGCTTGGCACTAATTAGGAGTCTTTTGTCTCTGAGTGTTTAGTGTGTAGTTTATTATGGAGGCTTAGCTTTTGTGTCTTGTGAGTAGCATCTTGAAGATTTTAACACCCTTCATTATGTAAATTTTTGATGTTTGGTGATTTTGTTAGTTTTTTAGGAAAAACAAACTACTCACAAAAAGAATTGTGTTTGTCTTACTGTTGCATATAACACGGGGGTGGGTGGAGTGGGGGGGATGACTTGTTTAATTATTTTTCTTGTTAATGCAACTTATAAAGTAGAGCATTACACAGAAATGAACTTACATTTATCAGCTAATTGTTAGTGTTCTGATATTTTAGACTGTTTTTTTTCTCCTAATATATAACTAAACAATATTGGAACATGCAAGTAAAATTGTATTAGCTATCTTTTTGTTTTGTTTTGTATTTACATATCTAATGTATGTTTCTGTGTCATGAAATATTTTCAAAATTGCATGTGGCATTGGGGCAAGAAACACCTCCCTCATTCCATTTTTGACATACCTTATTCTTGGTTTAATTAAAAAAAATATTTTTGAGCCAGGCTAGTGTATCCCAGGCTTGCTTCAAACTTGCTATGTCGTCTAGGTTAACATATTTTCCAAAAATAGTTGTGGAGCCAGGCGGTAGTGGTGTACACCTTTAATCCCAGCACTCGGGAGGCAGAGGCAGACAAATCTCTGTAAGTTCAAGGCCAGCCTGGTCTATAGATTGAGTTCCAGAACAGCCAGGGCTATTACACAGAGAAACCTTGTCTCAAACCAAAGAAAAATATTGTGGTTATATAGATGGGTCAGTGGAGTCTCACTGAAAACTTAACACTTTTAGACAGGGTTTATCTGTGTATCCCTGGCTGTCCTGGAACTCACAAAGATCCATTTGCCTCTGCTTCCCAAATGTTGGGATTAAAGGTGGGCACCACTAAGCCTGGCTTACATTTTTTTTTTTAAGTACACCTAGGAGCTAAGGCTGTATCAGTGGTAGAGTACATACTTAGTATGTGCAAGGCCGTGGGTTTGATTCCCAGCCCCACTTAAAAAAAAATGCATTACAAGTGAATGATTATCTGCACTTAATGGTAGAGAGAGCTTCCCAGCACTCCCAACATTTCGGAAGCAGAGACAGATGGATCTTTGAGTTCTATGGCCAGCCTGGTGTACATAATGAGTTCCAGCTTTGTGTGTGTGTGTGTGTGTGTGTGTGTGTGTGTGTGTGTGTGTGTGTGTGTGTGTGTAGCACATGAACTCTTGGGGAAAATGTACTATAAGGTTTTGTCTTTTTGTTGTTTTGCAAAGCAGCGTTTGTGTATCAGGTTGAAGCTAGTTTGATGAACTTTTGTTTATTGGGATATTGTAGTGTGATGGATAATTGGAAGTTTGCAGGTTAGTTAAAAGGACAAGAAATGAAAACTAGCTGTGTTTTCTGTAAAAATT